CGATGGCTGGGGTGAGGGGGGCGCAGGCATCTGAGGCAATGGGGGGCTCCAGGAGGGCACCGGCACCTGAGGCGATGGTGGGGTCTAGGGGGTACAGGCACCTGAGGTGACGGCGGGGGCAAGGGAGGCATCGGCACCTGAGGCGATAGCGGGGAGGCGAGGGGGGCACCGACACCTGAAGCAATGGCAGGGGCGAGGGGGGCACCAGCACCTGAGGTGATACAGGGAGCGATGGGGGTACTGGCACCTGAGGCGATGGGGGGGGCGAGGGGAGCACAGGCATCTGAGGTGATGGTGGGGGCGGTGGGGCCGCTTTCCCGGCTGAGGAGCAGCGTCTGCAGGAGGCTTCCTGCCTTCTCTTTCTGCCAAATGTCCGCAGTCCCCTCGCCCGGTACGTGTCAGCAAAGTTCAGGACCCCCAAGTGAGTCTTGTAGGCCTCTAAGCATCTATGAAGTTGAGGGCTTCTTTTAATTGTTATCGATTACCTCTCTTCTTAGCAAGTTGCTGTCTGGGATGTGGGAACTTCTGCAGTTGTGGGCTGTGATGGTGTTAGGCTTGGAGTTAAAACTGCTCTGAACCACTAGACACTGCTTTATGGCCAATGGAACCTTTGGAGGCCACACTTGTGGGAATGGGTGAGGCAAGGAATGGCCTGGGTTGAAAGGGACCTTTGAGTTCATCGAGTCTAACCATCAACATAGCACACTAAATCATGTCCCTAAGTGCCACATCTACACGTCTTTTAAATACCATCAGGGATGGTGATTCCATCACTTCCATAGGCAGCCACTTCCAATGCTTGACAACCCTTCCAGTGAAGAATTTTTTCCTGATATCCAACCTAAACCTCCTGTGGCGCAACTTGAGATTGTTTCATCTTGTCCTATCAGTTCTTACTTGGGAGAAGAGACCGACCCCCACCTCTCTACACCCTCCATTCAGGGAGTTGTGGAGACCAGGAAGGTTTCCCTTCGGCCTCCTTTTCTCCAGGCTGAACACACCCAGCTCCCTCAGCCGCTCCTCATAAGACTAGTCCTGCAGCCCCTTCACCAGCCTCATTGCCCTTCTCTGGACCCGCTCCTGAATCTCAATGTCTTTCTTATGTTGAGGGGCCCAAAGCTGAATGAAAAAGTAATCCAATCTGCAACCAAAGTACAGGTGTTTGTCCTTGCTCTAAACAAATGTGTGGTTTCTGAGCATGCTTAGAAGAGCTCTGGGTGTGGAGCCTTGCCTTGGTGTCAGGTTGTACACGAGTCACAGAATGAGATGAAGGTCAAGTCGCTGGAAAGTGGGATGATTCCATGCTTCTGAAGAAAACCTAGCAGTAAATTAATTGTGCTTTGTGGAGTGTGAAGGAGTAGATTTGGCTGGATAGAGACTTGGGGAGATGTGAAGCTGTAAGGATTAATTTGTTTTCCAGTCTGGGAGGAAGTTCCCTCTCTGGTTAAGAAAATAACTTTATTTGTGTGCGACAAGGATGAATGGTGGCATAAATTGTGGCATGACTCTTTATTCTTCTGAGTTGTGCATATGATATTCCTAACTCTGTCTGTTAAATTCTAAGCTATGCATTCATATTCATGAAATATAAAAATTTCTACGTAGTGACATTCAAATCCCCATTGGACTATGGTTTCCTAGGCAAATATTACCTGTAGATATGAAGCTATTTCTTAGAGATGATATCAAATAAGGAACTGTGTCCAGTTATTGGTGACCGATTACGTTACCCAAAGAGGAATTGTGTTGATGTAGGAGCCTTAAAAAGTAGATTTCCATATAGATGACCATGTTTTCATGTGTAGTAACATACAGATGTTACTATGCCTTTTTTCATCAGATAAGAGGAATTGTGTTGATGTAGGAGCCTTAAAAAGTAGATTTCCATATAGATGACCATGTTTTCATGTGTAGTAACATACAGGTGTTACTATGCTTTTTTTCATCAGCCTTTTATAAATTGTTTCAAGTGTAGTTACCACTTACCAAAACTGCCAAGATTATTGCGTATGACTTGCTATGCTGTATTCTCACCCCACTCACCATGTAGCGGAATAAGTTTGAATTAATCTTTATCTTCATTTAACTTTCTATCAAATGGTAGATAAAATGTTCTGCTTTCGCTAAGGTAAAGCTTTATCTTTCTTGAGTGGATTTTTTCCCAAATACATTTTATTTCAAATTCTCTATGAGGTAGTTCACTGTTCTGTCTCTTTCTCCCCTCTCCAGAAACAGCATAAAAGCAGTAGGGGCACAGGTAAACCTGAAGGAGGATATAATTTCTTTTTCTACTGACCATGTTTTCATGTGTAGTAACATACAGGTGTTACTATGCTTTTTTTCATCAGCCTTTTATAAATTGTTTCAAGTGTAGTTACCACTTACCAAAACTGCCAAGATTATTGCGTATGACTTGCTATGCTGTATTCTCACCCCACTCACCATGTAGCGGAATAAGTTTGAATTAATCTTTATCTTCATTTAACTTTCTATCAAATGGTAGATAAAATGTTCTGCTTTCGCTAAGGTAAAGCTTTATCTTTCTTGAGTGGATTTTTTCCCAAATACATTTTATTTCAAATTCTCTATGAGGTAGTTCACTGTTCTGTCTCTTTCTCCCCTCTCCAGAAACAGCATAAAAGCAGTAGGGGCACAGGTAAACCTGAAGGAGGATATAATTTCTTTTTCTACTCTGAAAGCAGGAGTAACATTTTTTTTTTTCAGATGAAATAGCTCTACTAGAGCAAGATTGAGACACGTTAATGTTCTTTACTCATTCTTTCAGACAAAGGAGAATGTTGACTGTGTTACTTGCTGACTCTCAGCAATAAAGAGCCTACCTCCAGGTTTCCTCCTGCTTTGCAGAATCTTTGTTGAGGCCCATTGTCTCTGTAGCTTCCGTTAAGAAATTTGTGCAGCTTGAGTAATCTTTCAATTAAATTCAAGCTGAGGCTGAAGTAGATTTAATCTCTGCAGATGAGTGATTTCAGCTGCAACGTCTGTTGTTCTTGAACTTAGGATAAACGTACTGGATAATTACCAATACTTTACAAAAAAAACTAACCAACCAAACCCGCAACAAACACAAGAACTTTTCTACATATATCAAAAGCAAAAGTGTCTTCTTTGTTGTTCTCCTCTGTCTTGTTTCCAGAAACTGTAACTTTTTATTTTTGTACTTGAAAGAGATTTAAGATTAAATCAGGCTTATCTGTTGGACTAAGCTTTAGGTTCAATAATGATAGGCTTTAGTCCTCAAGTAAATGAATTTTCTCAGAGATAGTTGCTTACTTTCAAATATAACTTATCTTCTACTACTGTTTTATCAAAGCAATAACTATAAAAAGGTTCCAGGAGACGACAAAAGATTTTTTTAAAAAATAAATTAATATCAGCTGTCTGAGACTTAAGAAAGCTCAATAAATTTATCAGGAAATTTACTGTGGTAACTCTTGCATTTTTAATGCCTCTCTGTAAAAAATTAGGCTAAGCAAAAAATCTTACTGTCTTCAACTGCCTAATGGGTGCACGGAGGGAACAGTCAGGCTCTTCTGGGGAGTGCACAGCAAATGGACAAGGGGCCATTGTCATAAACTGCAGCCAGGGATAGATACTAGGAAAAAGTCTTGACAGTAAAGATGTTTGAGCACTGGAATGGATTGCTTAGAGCAGCTGGAGAATGGTTGTTGCAGAGACACTGAAAACTGAACTGGATGAAGAATCAGAATGCCCTGATCTAACTTCAAAGTCAACCCTGCTTTGAGCAGGGAGAAAAATGTGTCACTTCCAGCCTAAACCATTTTGACAGTTGTATAATAGAATTATTCCTAGAATTAATTTAATAAGAAAAAGTACTTTCTGCTCTAAAGTTGCTAAATACAGAATGCCTATAGAGAAGCACTGTATTAATGAGGACGCTGCGTCGGTTTGAGTTGATGCACAGACTTAGCTGGTTCCCTCCAACAATGTTGTTAGCTTTAAAACACTAATATGCTACCAATGGCTGTGTGTGTCAGAGCATATGGCTTCACTTAGAAGTCAGTATCTGTAAAGCAGGGGCATGAGTAATGAGTGACTCTTAAAAAAAAAAAAAAAAAAAAAAAAATATATATATATATATATATACACAAACCCCCCACCCAATCAAAACCAAATATACTGGGAAGTCACTCCTGTTTGATTTCAACCAGGTGAAGCTGTATGCATTACTTACGATATTCAGAAACAGTATTACTGAAGTAGGAATTTGAAGTGTCACTACATGAATCAATACAGCAGCTGTGGCTGTTACAGCAGCAATGAGGAATATTAATTGGTTTGGATTTATGGGTAGCAATGTCTTTATAAAAATCACTACATCTCAAAGGAAAAAAGACACAGAAGTGTTTCTCCAGATTTACTGCTGCAGTTTTTAAATATTTTCCTTTCTCTAACCCATCAGCACAAATAAAGAAAATGTCACTGGTTCAAACTACAGGGTTTTAAAAATGTCTTCAGCTTTAATTCAAAACTTCAGGTTTCTTTTTTTTGAAATTATTTTTCCTGAGCCTTTGTTTTACCCTATATTGTAAACTTTTACTTAAAAAAAAAAAAAAAAAAAAATATATATATATATATATATACACAAACCCCCCACCCAATCAAAACCAAATATACTGGGAAGTCACTCCTGTTTGATTTCAA